CCCATGGCCTTTCGCATAATGGGGAATCGACATACTTGGCCCCTTTCCACCAGCAACCGATTAAAGGAAGTTTTTAGTCATGGCAGTTGATTACTTTGTGAAATGGGTAGAGGTCGAGCCATTGGTGTCTATCACAACTTGTAATGTGCAAAATTTTTTTCTAGAGAAACATTGTATGCAGATTTGGGCTACCAAAAGTACTAATCTCGAACAATAGTAAGCAATTTGAAGACATCAAATTCCAAAATTGGTGCACAGAGATGGGGATACAACAGAACTTCACCTCGGTCGCTCATCCTCAAGATAACGGGTTAGGTCGAGGTAACAAACATGGTGATACTCTGCTGCCTTAAAGCTCGACTTTCCTGAGCTAAAGGTTTGTGGGTGGACAAGCTGCCTAGTGTCATATGAGCCTATCAAACAACTATTAAGACGGAAACCCGTGAAACACCTTTCAACTTGACATATGGAACTGAAGTTGTGATCCCAATTGAAATCGAAGTGCTGACCTTATGATCCAAGACTTATAATGAAGAGACTAATGAGGACGATCTACGGACCAACCTTGACTTGGTAGAAGAAGTTTGTAATCTTGCTTACATTCAGATCGTAGCATACCAACAGCGAGTGGTTCGGTATTATAATGCTCGAGTCAAGAAACACCAATTTAGAATTGGTGACCAAGTACTCAAAAAGGTTATGGTACCTGAGCCCGGTGTAGAAAAGCTAGGTCCGAACTAGGAAAGCCCTTATAGAGTCTTCAGAGTAATCGGTGAAAATGCATACGAGCTTGAAACACTAGAGGGGAAGCTAGTATCCTGCGCATGGAATATAGACAACTTGAGGAGATACTATTTGTCAAAGTGTTCCGAGCTACGTTCGCAAATTTGTAAAATTTTACTAAGTATGAAAATAAAATCTAAGGGATGCTAAATTGCTTTTAGAACTAAGACATTCGGGCCGATCTCCCAGTAGCTTGGCCAAATGAAGCCTAAGGGATGCCAAATCACTTTCAGCAGGTCGACCTTCCAACATCTCAGCCAAATAAAACCTAAGGGATGTTAGATCACTTTCAACACTAAGGCACCCGAGCCGACCTCCCAACAGCTCGACCAAATGATACTTAAGGGGAATCCTGAATCACCTTTTGGCCCTAAGGCCCCTAAGCCGAATCACTTCTACAGGCACGTCAGCCAAAGATAGCTTGTGCGACATAATATCTTAGCAAGATTGAAATCTCATTGAAGAGACAACATGTATTAAAGCGATTTTCATTAAAGTTGTAGAGTATATACATAAAAAAACTCTCCAAAAGCATATTTGCCATAAAGGAGCACGCAGGCTCCAAGAAGCATCTTACAAGAGCACACAGGCTCCTGGAAACACCAGCTGACAAGAAAACATCTAACATCACGACTGACTTACTCTTCATCGCCACTCTACAGCTCGTCATCGACATCATTTGCCTCCTCACCCTCTTCTTTGTCGTCCTCCCCCTCTTCCTCATCAAGAGTCAAAGGCTCCTTGTCAACCAGCACCGCCAGCTTGTCCAACACATCTTTAACAGATACATTGCCAAAGTCAATATCTTCGTTATACTTCGTCCGCCTCTCCTCTAACTGGCGTTCTTAGGCAGCAATGGTCTCCATGGCCTCGTTCAACTCGCATTGCATTACAACGCTCAACCTGATGAACCGTTGGTGATCTTCCTCAGTGCCGAGTTGAATCCCCTACATCTGAGATTGCAAAGCATCATTTTTTGCCTGCAACTCACGTCTCACTCTCTAACCCGAGGTGACCTGATCCAATAGAACCTGACCCATAGTGTTCACCTACAAAAGAAGAAAAGAATTGTCAGTACAAAGACCACAATATAAGAGAACAGAAACTTCACCAAACCTGAAGGATGCACGAAATCATCCTAGCACCGACCTCAATAGGGTCCATACCGCAAGAATACTGTACATCATCGGGGAGGAGCATACCTCTCCCCATTTGAAGGGCCACCTAGGGATCATGAAGGAGGTCGAGCATAGAAATGTTGATGTTTAAAACGAAATGGGGTATGTCCAAGGGGTAAAGACCGACACGACATTCCTCTTGGCTGACCTGCACTGAAGAGGCGGCAAGATCCATAAGGACCTAATCAGCATTCATAGGGTTGCCACTTCCCTCAAGGTCTATGACAAAGATAAGACCTTGTGTGTTATGGAAGTAATGTCTCTACAAGGGATGGATCTGAAATTCCCCCACACGGAAACAATGTACAAATTTAGGACTTCTAACCAACTTAACCAAGCAAAAAATAATTCTAATCATACTTAAATAGAATTTGACAAATAGTGAAAAGTTTTACTTAAATCCATCAAGCAAAACAACCAACATGTTTTACTTTAACAACATTAAATAATAAATTAATCAAGATCAAATAGAAATAACATGGAAAAAGGGGGCCAAGTACATCTCACTTATGAAAATGTTAAATGCTGATGGGGGAATCTCTAACCAGCAAAACACCATCCAAATAAATATTCGTGCATACTTATTAGTTTTGAATGTTGGCAAAAATTAGTATTCCCTTTGTATATGTTAAAAGAGAGGTTACAAGACTGATTAGCATTAACCCTTATGATTATGTTAATTGTAGCCTAGTTTCCATCCAGAACAAAACCGTTATTACACCAGAATCTTATCAATCATTAAAGGTGCCTCTAACTGTCAGTCGCAACATGGATATTGTTTCCTTATGGCTAAAGAAACAATGGAATATTATGTGGTTTAATTTGATCTAGCTTATGATTATGTTAAGTGCTGATGGTAAGACATTTAATCAGCACTAGACCGTCCATACGCATGGTTTTCAAAGGCATAAGTAACTGTGCATAAATAAATCAAGATTATCACATTTTGATAGAGAAACATCCGAAACAAGATTGTTCATACACCAGTATCCTATAACTACATGTGTGCATGTTTTATCAATCTTAAATTTCATAAGAGTGCCTTGAAATGTCAGCCACAAAATGGATAGCGTTTTTGTGTATGGCTAAAGAAACAATTGAATATGAGGTGGCTTGATTTTATCTAGCTTATGATTATGTTAAGTGATGATGGTAAGACATTTAATCAGCACTAGGCCGTCCATAAAAATGGTTTCCAAAGAAATAAATAACTAACTACACATAAATAAATCATGCTCACCACATTAATTGACAATGAAACATCCAGAACAAGAATGTTCATACACCAGTATCCTAACTACATGTGTGCAATTATTATCAAATGCAATATTCATAAAAGTGCCTTGAAATGTCAGCCACAACATAAATACTGTTTTCTTATATGACTGAAGAAAACAATAGAATATGAAGTGGTTTAATTTGATATAACTTATGATTATGTTAAGTTATGATGGTAAGACATTTTAATCAGCACTAGATCGCCCATAAGCGTGTTTTCCGAGTAACATGTTCACCCCATTAATTGACAGCGAAACGTCCAGAACAAGACTATTCACACAACAGTATCCTAACTACATGTGTGTGTATGCATGTGTTATCAAATATAATCAGCATTAGATCATCCATAAGAGGTTTTCGAATAACTTACTACAAATAAATAAATCATGTTCACCTCATTAACTGACAAAAAAACATCCAAAACAAGACTGTTCATACACCATAATATCAAATGTAATCATCATACAAGTGCCTTGAAATGTAATTCTCTTGTATGGATAAAGAAACAATGGAAGAAAACCATTTTTCAACCGATAAGGCCAATAGACATTGTTCTTGGTCATTGCATACTTCAAGTAAGGAGTGGTCGGGCTGGGGGGATGGTCTATTTGAAAGATAGAGGAAGACCGGAGATAGAGAATCAACCATAGGTTTAAATGCGAGAGGAGAGGTCAGGAAGCAACTGAGCAGGGGGGTCTTAGTGCTGGGGTTTGCTAAAGGCTGAGCGAGTGTCCTTCGTCGTGCGAGGGATCTCCATTTAAAGGGAAGATCCCAAGGTCTTAAAAGGAATGACCCAAAAACATTTATTCTTGACTGAGAAGAAAAATATTAGATCTGTTGTCAATCATTAAGGCTCGGTTTGATTTTGAGGGAAAGTTTGGGCGGGATGGGATGGGATGAGAAAGTGTGAAAATTTTGCTTTCGACCGTTTAGTTGTACAAGGGAAAATAATGGAAAAATTCATTTTCTCATGTTTGTTTTTTGAGAAAATTCATTTCCCCATATATATTTCCCTCTCATATTATGAATTAATAAAGTGAATTAAGGGTCAAATGGCCAAACTAGTTGATGTAATCCAACTTAACTATATTTTTAGAATCATATTTTAATGATGTTGATTGTAATCATCACATTTGATACAGACCAATGATGGGCCCACGTCATTTGAATTTCATATGGCAAGTCATAGCCCCATGCAACAACAACTAGTAGTCCTACTTTGCAACTAATCGACCTGTAACTATAATTGTGTTACTACAGTTGGACAATAGAGCTAAGTTAGATTCCTAATGATAAACATTCATTAATCAGTAAAGCTTAAGGCTTGTGTTATATGTTCGTCAAAAGATTTTGCAAGTACTGGACTGATAGCTTAATGGCATAAGAGTGATCACTGGAGCGTTGGGATTAAAGTTTTGTAATTTTATTGGTAAACGAAATTTAGACTCATTCAAACATTTATATTTTGTTTGGACTCCCCACTTAAATCATTTCGATCTATTTAGTTTTGACCGTAGTAAGATGCAAAAGCATATCTAAGATGTTGGGTCTTTTCTTTGCATATTGCCAAAGACCACAGTAATTATGATTTCTTTGCATGCCAAACTCGCCACACATTTGATACAAATAAATTAAAAATAAAGGCCAAGAGATCCTAACCAAGGGTCCAAGTTTTAAGGCATCAAATCTATGAAAAGTCCATGCTTCAATTAATTTTATATTTAGGCCAGTTCCTCCTCTTAAACTAAAACAATCAAAAAATTCAAAAGTAGAATAGACGCCATTAAACTTGCAAATTTCAAAGATGTCAAAGCCTACATGTTGTTTCTCCATCATCCAACTTCAAAACATCTAAATGATGATCTGGATGATAGGAATTACATAATCTTGGCACTGTGGACTCTCTCTTGTAGAGGTTAGCCGAAATTGTGGTACTGCTGAAAGGAAAATTTTGCAGCATTAAGAAATACACGGATGATGTACTGTTGTAAACTCAATCCAGTTTCAACATTCTTTCAAGGAAAAATAGCATCAAAGGCTGCAATTAAAACAACTTCCAGATCGGACCTGACAAGTATATATTAATAGCATCATCACACTAATAACATAGAATGGTGATCAGACAATATAAACACACACACACACACCTATTTTCAGCTTAGGTGACCCTACATTATAGCATCTTCTCATATCGTTCCTTCCCTTTTCTTTTGAATGAAAATTGTTATCAATTCCTCCATGTGGTAGAAAATAGGAGAAGTGATCTAGAAAAATGTTCAAGTGATTTTTATATAAAACTTTTTTCTTGTCCAATGAAATGTGGTTCTGTGGCTACAGAATTCTTTCATCAGATATGCTTATAACTAAAATGGTTGTCTTAGCTCTTATTTATTGTCATTTAGAATATTTTAATTGTCAGAGATTTGTGTGAAGTTTGATTCAAATGTTATTTTGTCTAGTTTTAGAGAGAGATCTGTATGATGCAATATCAGTAATGTTTTTCTCAAAAAAAAAAAAAAAGTAATGCTTATGCAATGTTTTAAAAGGCAGAGGAGTAAGGCGAGATGCTAGAACTTTCTAGAGCATGGGTTGTAAGCTTTACAAGAACAAATATATAACCATGTGCATAGGACATTTTATATAAGAGTGCATATGAAAATCATAATGTAATTAATTACTAAAAGCTTAAGGAAATAAAGAAAAAAACCAATGTATTTTAGGCTTTGGGAGGCTGATTGTTTAAGGAGACTCGTAGGGCCTGTCTTGTGGGAATAGGGGTCTCAAATCTGAATCGAAATGGCCCATTAAGATCAACTTACTGTTTATGGTGAATATTTAATACACTTCCCAATCAATAATTATTTTTATATTCACTCACTTGCACTAGTAAGTGATTACTACTTGGTAGGAATTCAAGATCAGATATTAAATAAAAATCTTGAAAAACACCATTCAATTCAGGAATCCATCCCCATAAAAGTTCAAACTATGTTCTCTCTAAAGAACAAAAAAACTAATGCAGACATGGAAGCAAGGAAAGAAATCATAAGTTTCTCTATATATCCAACACCAAGGGCTTTTTTTTTTATTTTATTTTGGGTGATCTGATTTGTTTTTTTTTCCTTGTTCTTGTCAATCTGAGTTTTTTAATAGTTACATTCTGATGTGCTAATTTCTTAGGAATGGGATTGTGATCTTAAAGTGTCACAATAGTTTAAAGAGTCTTTTCTTCCCTTTTTTTAACCCAGAATTACTCCACAACCTCGGAGTGGATCCTTTTTTTAAAGGAATTTTATTAATTTAGAAAAATGGCATTGTTAAGAGATACAACTACTAGCACCCAATGAGCCGGTTCCATCCTCAACCAATCATCATTGTAGATAAATCTTAGTTAGATGTTTAGCTAGCTTCAGAGTCACCTTCGACCTCCAGCTGCCTTTAATTTGGATGTTTAGCTAGCTTTAGACCAGAACATCAGAAATTTCACAGAGGTTATATTCTGACCAAAAATTAAAAACAGGGGTTATATTTTGGGTTGGCCCAACCCAATAAGTATTTTGGGTTATATTTTAGGTGTGACAAAAATTAAAAACAGGGGTTATATTCTGACCAAAAATTAAAAACATATACACAGATAAATCTACCCATTCGGTTTCCTCTTCTAACCCCAGAAAAATCTACTCATTTGGTTCCCTCTTCTAACCCTAGATAAATCTACAGTAAATCTAGGAATGAAGTCAACACTTCAGAAGAACCAATCGGTTCCCTCTTTCTTTTTTTTGGCAATAGCTCCATCGTCTTTTTTGATCATGGTAGAGAAGGGTTTTGAAACCGAACCAAAAGAATAGGCAGTCTTGTTGGAAGTCACAATGGAAAAAAAATGCACACCATTGTAAATTGATCAAACCAGTAGTGATTTGATGATTGATTAACAAAAAAAAAATATCAGAGAAAACCACGATACCTAACAAATAGCATCACTTCAAAATATGAAGGAAACAAAAAACCCCCTTCGTCACAGCACTGTAACGTGAATAAACCCCTATACTTGTGCATGTCCTGAAAAAGATGAAATGGAGCTTCTCCTTTGCTCACTAAAACAAACTGTCCTACCAAATCTCCTAACAAATCTCACCTACACAAGGAGAATGGAGAATCTCCTTGTCGAAAATAGTGAAGAAGATGAAATGGGATCAGTCATTGCAGAGATTGGTGCAACTATGGTAAAAACATTCTTATCCACCAAAATATAGAAGAAAATATAGGAAATGGCTCGCCAAAAGCAAGAGTGTAGATCTGGTCTTACCTTTGCTTGATATCACCAAAGAAGTCGTTGGAGATACAACTATTGGAATGCTTGGCTGAAGGAAGAAGAAGACTCTCAAGTTTAGGCTTGACAAAGCCCAATAACTTTTCTCAATCGCATCTCACATTTTTCCTTTCTCACTGGGGTCGCACCATTTTGGTGGGAGTCCATTTACTTAATTTTGGGGTCCTACTTCTCACTCTTTTCTCATCCCGTACCACTGTATCCCAACAATCAAACATGGGGAAAATGTATCATTTAGGAATATTCCTCTTTTCCCATCCCTTTCCCTCAAGCCAAACAAAGCCTAAGGGACGTTGCCAGGGTTTCGCCACATGTCCTTATGGGATCTCTCAAAGATTAACTTTCCTTTCTACTAGAGATCCTCAAATAAAATTACACTGCAACCAAACATGGATAGTGTTTTTGTATACGGCTAAAGAAACAATTGAATATGAGGTGGTTTAATTTGATCTAGCTTATGATTATGTTAAGTGATGATGGTAAGACATTTAATCAACACTAGACCGTCCATAAGCATGGTTTCTGAAGAAATAAATAACTGCGCATAAATAAATCATGTTCACCACATTAATTGACAATGAAACATCAAGAACAAGAAAGTTCATACACCAGTATCCTGACTACATGTGTGCAATAATTATCAAATGCAATATTCATAAAAGTGCCTTGAAACGTAAGCCACAACATGAATACTGTTTTCTTATATGACTAAAGAAAACAATGGAATATGAGGTGGCTTAATTTGATATAGCTTATGATTATGTTAAGTGATGATGGTAAGGCATTTTAATCAGCACTAGACCGTCCATAAGCGTGGTTTCCGAATAACTAATTACACATAAATAAATCATGTTCACCACATTAATTCCAGTGAAACATCCAGAACAAGACTGTTCATACACCAGTATCCTAACTAGGTGTGCGCGTGTGTGCATGTGTTATAAAATGTAATCATCATAAGAGTGTCTTGAAATGTGAGCCACAACATGGATAGTGTTTTCTTGTATGGATAAAGAAACAACGAAATATGAGATGGCTTATTTGATCTAGCTTATGATTATGTTAAATGCTGATGGTAAGACATTTAATCACCACTAGACCGTCCATAACCATGGTTCCCAAAGACATAAATAACTAACTATGCATAAATAAATCATAATCATCACATTAAATGACAGTGAAACATCCAGAACAAGACTGTTCATACACAAGTATATTATAACTACATGTGTGCATGTTTATCAATTGTACATTTCATAACAATGCCTTGAATGTCAGGCACAACATGGATAGTATTTTCTTGTATGGTTAGAGAAACAATGGAATATGAGGTGGCTTAATTTGATCTAGCTTATAATTATGTTAAGTGATGATGGCAAGATATTTAATCAGCATTAGAACGTCCATAAACATGGCTTCTGAAGACATAAATAACTATGCATGAAAAAATAATGATCACCACATTAATGTATCCTAAAACATAAACAAACAAGATTGTTCGTACACCAATAATAACTATATGTGTGCATGTCTTATCAAGTGTAATTATCATAAGAGTGCCTTGAAATGTCAACCACAACTTGGATAGTGTTTTCTTGTATGGCCAAAGAAATAATGGAATATGAGGTGGCTTAATTTGATCTAGCTTTATGATTATGTTAAGTGATGATGGTAAGTCATTTAATCAGCACTAGACCATCCATAAGCATGGTTTCCAAAGACATAAGTAACTAACTAACTATTAGCGGTGGCAATTGGGCGGGTTGGGTTGAGTTTCAACCCAATCCATCTAACCCGCCAACCCATTAATGATCCAGTTATATAAAATTATATGGGTCGGATTCAACTTAAACCCGCTTTAATGCAATCCAACCCACCCAAATCTATTAATCTTATATGTATGTACTTTAAACAAAAAACTAACTCTCTTGGCAAATAAGTTGGTCATAGCTTGGTGGTAATAGTAGTAGCTATCTACACAAGTGGTGAAGGTTCCAATCACATTACATGCATATTATTTTTACACAAGTGGCAAAGCCATTTAACTATGTTCGGGTTTCGGGTTTGATCAAACCACTTAGACTCAAACCGGTTAGACCAACTTGAGCTATCTAATTGGATTGTCTTTGAGCTAATCACATCAAGGGTGGTTGAACCGTTTAGATCTGGATCAGTTGGATCGGACCAGACTGGACCGGTTCAATCAATAACGGATTGACTTGGATCGGCCCATATCAGGTCCATGCACAGGTTCGGGGTCGAACCGACTGGCCCAAAGCGGTTATCAAATATAATTATCATAAGAGTGCTTTGAAATGTCAGCCACAACATTGATAGTGTTCTCTTGTACGGATAAAGAATCAATGGAATATGATATGGCTTAATCTGATCTAGCTTATGATTATGTTAAATGCTGATGGTAAAACATTTAATCAGCACTAGACCGTCCATAAGCATGGCTTCCGAAGACATAAATAACTAATTATGCATAAATAAATCATGATCATCAAATTAGTTGACAGTGAAACATCACAAGATTGTTCATACACCAGTTCCTACAACTATGTGTGTGCAGGTGTTATCAATTATAATCATCATCAAAGTGCCTTGAAATGTTAGCCACAACATGGATAGTGTTTTCTTATATGACCAAAGAAACAATGGAATATGAGGTGGCTTAATTTGTTCTAGCTTATGATTATGTTAAGTGATGATACTAAAACATTTAATCAGCACTGGACCGTCCATAGTTTCCCAAGACATAACTAACTATGCATAAATAAATCATGATGAACACATTAATTCACAGTGAAACATCTAAATAAAAACTCCAGAATGCCAATTTTTGGTCATAAACGATTCTTTCAAATTTAAGTAAATCCCTGACTTCACGAAGTTGCACTCTTGTAAAACTTTAAATACACAAGCACCAACGTAATCATGAACAAGTTCAAGGTGACCCACACAATACTAATTCATATACTATTTCATGTCTCTAAACAATGTTTACTACATTGGGGCAACGAAAAGTTCCAATCCACAACTCAGGTGGACTAGGATTGTTTAGAAAATTTAAGAATCTGGACAACAATGATCCAAAGGCAATTTGGGATGATAGTTACAATCATCGGGAGCCTAAACATTTTCCTACTTAGGGTGCAAATTTACAACCCAAGATTTCAACATCACCCTTAAATCAGGAGAGTCAAAATTCTTGCATAATTTAGCTTAATATAACCATACATACCTTGTCCTGACTACCTACATCCCAAACGGTGAAGCTAATGTTCTTATATTCTACAGTCTCCACATTAAACCCTGACCGGAAAAGGTTCATTAGTCCCAGTTAAGAGTTGAAATAATAGAAGCTTAATATAACATATGGATATTGGTGATCTAATGGCTATCTAGCAGAGCAAGCATGCATTAAAAATCTGCTACATAGGCTTGAAATGTTAATTCCAATGGGCGAACAATCAGGTTTAGGCAAATGCATGCATTGTTAACCTGGAACATGATGTTTTATATCATCTAACAAAAAACGAACTACTTTCTCTAAAATTTCTAAATGTACATCTAGCAAGAAACTCAAAATCTCAAATTTGCATTCCCATGGTTGAAATTTAAATGAACGTGAATGAATGAGCAGTTGAACCCCCACACTGAAAACTGAATTCACCAAACCAATCAAATGATAAAATGACACCTAATTATAAGGAGGAAATTAACGTGATAAAAAGAATAATTAAACACATGTGACAGGGATCTGTAAGAAACAGTAGGACATACTTTTACACATTACATGGACAACCAGGCAGAGCATTCCCTCAAAAACCATACAGGAAAAAAAAAACACCCTTGAAATCATTTAAATTGTAGGGTCAAAAACATACCAATGGTTGGAGTTGTTGTGACTATCTCTCCCAACTTGAGTTTGTACAAAATGGTGGTCTTACCCGTGGTCTTATCCGCAGCATCAAGACCCACCATAATTATGCGCATCTCTTTCATGGCAAAGATCCGACTAAAAGGCTTGATGAAAGACAGCTCCATCTTTGTGTCTGATGGTTCTGCAGATTGCAATTTAGAAATTCATTCAAAAAAGTATGACATATTTATAAGAAAACCATTTTTCAATGGATAAGGCCGATAGGCATTGTTCTTGGTCATTGCATACATTCATAATATTGACGTTACTGAGGGCATTCTTGCAAGTAAAGAAAAACGTATACAGAATCCCTGACATAAAGTTTAAAGACCCAAACTTAACATAGGCATTTATGGTATTATGTGAATTAGTCAAACAATGGTAGATTGGATATGTATTGTAATAATTGACTGGAATATTATCTAAAATTTTGCCAACAATATATCAACACCACATTGTAGAGCACCTTATAGAGTATGGTGTGGTTCAAACCATGTGATTTCAACAACACCACAGTGGAACCATGAATATTCAAACACACCACACCTTATGGAAATCACACTGCTCGATGATCCTTTGTATGAAACAGAATCATGTGATTAGCTAACTAATTTGTAAAGCTCTCAATACTAATGAAGAATGAAAGAGTAAAGATAAGCTACGATTTTTTTTCTTCCTGAGATAATAAGAAAAGAAACTTGAAGGCGTTGCTGCTTATGACATTACCATACTACTCTATCTTTTGCAATAAAATCAAACAAGAAGAATGTAGTCCAAAGGGAAAATCAAATCAACCTTTATAAAGTAATGAATGTAACCTGAAAACCAAATATATTAACACAAACAAGAAGCCTCCATCGCAGCAAAGCAACAAATTCTTAAAACATATCATACAAGATCCAGAGTCAAGAACACGTTAACATCTCATGTACAGGTAGTAGGCAATCAGAAGGAAAACAATGCAACCATAGAAACTCAATCATAACGATCAAATATGTATCTCAACCCTATATATTTAAATGGAAAATAATAAGACAAAAATACCAAATCTCAGGGCCAAAATCCAAAAACAATAAAAAAAACAGTCATCCACAAAGAGGCAGAGAGATGAAATTTAATTTTAAGAACCGAAGGTCATGAAATCTAACTACGTAGACATAAATCAAGCAGAAAGGTAGCAAACCCGTGCAACAAAATGGGGATTGGCCTGACCATGCAACAATTTCAATTATGTAAAGGCCAAATCGAACCTTAATTTCACAAATCAATCAAGAAAAACCAGATTATTTGTTCTCTGAACTGAAAATATGAACCTAGAAGGTCTTGACAGGCAGATCAAATCTAAGCAGAAATCGGAACCGAAGGCTTCAAATATTAGAGAAAAATGCCATAAAAGCAGCAGCTAAGAACTAATGCAATTTATGTCCCATTGTCACATGGAAACTAATGAAAGTATTCAGTGAAATGGAGATCCCACAAGTACATTCTGAGAGCTTGCATAGGAATGGACATTTCTTCAAATATAACATTTATTTGGACTTCTACTAAATCACAACTAAGTTTCAACAGACAGGCTAGTTACATCCAAGAGAAAAGAAGGCCTTAGTGTAGATGTGATCTGATGGAGGGTGATTTGGCACGACCTAATAAGTAGAGGTCACGTGGACACGATCTGCCCGAAGGATGACAACTCAGCGAAAAGAGCCCAGTCAGCAAAAGTTAGAGCTCGGGTATTCGGTCACCTCGGCCCAAAACCACCTAGACATAGAGTCATCTCGGCATAAAGACACCTCGGCACCCAATTTAGTTCAGGGCCAAAGAACCAAAGTGCCAATTCGGGGCCAAAGAACTGAAGCGCCACGTAATCAACTCCAAAAGCTTCCCCAATGGACTCCGAATTAACCGGGGGGTAATTGATGGTGCACGATCTCAGGGGGGTAGTTCGGACCTGGTATAGGAATCTCGCACCGGGCTCCATCAAGAGCTGGGTGCAGTTTGCTGACCTGTTCACTGCACATTTCATTACCAGCAAGAAATGCCCGAAGTCGCAAGAGAGCCTTTTGAACGTGGTTCAGAGGGAAGGAGAGTCAATCAAAAGCTACATCAAGCGCATCAACGACACTTGCTTGCAGATACCGGACCTCGATCCAGCGGTGAGTCTAACTGCAGCAAAGAAAGGAATCACCCACAGAGAATTTAAGTGGCATTTGGTAGCCAACAAACCAAAAAATTCACAGAGTTCCTTAAGTTGGCAGACCAGTTCATCGGTACCGAGGAGGAGATTAACCAGAAGACTGATAATCCATCGACTGAAAAGAGGAAGAGAGAGGATGAAGGGACAAGCAATAGTGGACAGAAAAGAAAGAAGAGCAAGTCCCTGAGTAGGGGAAGAAACAAGTCAAGAAGCAGGTCCCCCTCGCGCGGCCACAAGTCAGGTCGACGTTCCAGGACTCCGCCAGTAGAGAAAACGAGCTATAAACCTCTGAATGCTAAGCGAGGAGAGATCTTAATGGCCATTAAGGACTCCTTTGTTAGATGGCCGCCCAGGCTAAGGGGAGACCCGGCGACAAGAAATCCGAATGTCTACTGCCATTTCCACCGAGATCATGGACACAACACGAAAAATTGCAGGAATCTCTGCGACAAGATCGAAGAGCTTATCCGTTGCGGGTACCTGAAGAATTACATCCTGCGAGAGGAGAGGGGGCAGGCAGACCGACAAGGGGACCAAAGGAGGAATGCCCCCGAGACTAGCAGGCAGAATGAGCAGCCACCTCGGTAGCTACCAGAGGAGAGGCCAGTTCACGGAGTGATCAATATGATCACTGGCGGGTCCATCATTGCGGGATGTACATCAGCAACTAGGAGGACTTCGGTCTGTGAATTGGAGAATGAAGGCGAAAACCCACCGAAGCGACCTCGGCTCGAGGAACCTTTCTACTTCACTGAGGATGACGCGCGGGATTCAATATCCACACAATGATGCCTTAGTCGTAAAGCTCAGAATCAATGACTTCAAAGTGAAGAGGATCCTGGTGGACTCGGGCAGCTCGACGGATATCCTCTTCAAGGAGACCTTCGATAACTTGCAGTTACATCAGAGCGACCTAAAACCAACAGACGCACCCTTGGTAGGATTTAGCGGAGAAGAGGTCAGGCCCCTTGGTCGGGTCACAGTACCAGTGGAAGCAGGCACGTGGCCGAACATCGTACGATTCGAGCACACTTTCCTAGTGGTCAGGCTATCATGCACGTTCTATGTGCGATAGTGTCCACCTATTACTTAGCGATGAAGTTCACAACTAATTACGGCATGGGGGTCGTGCGAGGTGACCAACTTGAATCCCGTAAATGTTACGTGGCCACTCTGAAAGGAAAAGCAAAACTAGTGGAGGATCTCGAGCTCGAACAACCAGCGGAACATACAGAGGAGCTAGCTGCCCCGACAGAAGAAACGGTCCACATACCAGTTTCTGACACCGAACCGACCAAAACTCTTCAAATCGGTGCCACGATCAGCGAGCCACTTCGAACTCAACTACTAAGTTTTTTACTTAAAAATTTAGATGTTTTTGCTTGGTCCGCAGCAGAGATGCCCGGGATTGACCCTAAAATAATAACTCACAAGCTTAATGCCGACCCTTTAGTAAGGCCAGTAAGACAAAAGAAACACAACCCCGCCCCGAAATGGAGGGTAGTCGATGAGGAGGTTAAGAAGCTCCTTGCGGCGGAATTTATCAAGAAAGTCCATTACCCGAGCTGGGTGGCCAACCCAGTTCTGGTGAAGAAGGCCAACTGCAAGTGGCGCATGTGAGTCGACTACACCGACCTGAACTGAGCATGCCCAGAAGACTGCTTCCCACTGCCCAAGATTGAACGCCTAGTGGACACGACCTCGGGGCAAGAGTTGCTGAGTTTTCTGGATGCCTATTCTGGTTACAACCAAATTATGATGGATCCTGCTGACCAGGACAAGACCGCATTTGTAACTGAGCTCGGGCTATATTGTTATAAACTTATGCCCATTGGTTTGAAAAATGTTGGGGCAACATTCCAGCGCCTTGTAAATAAAGTTTTTGAGCCGTTGATCAACAATAAAATAGAATGTTATGTTGATGACATGGTCGTGAAGACCCAATTTTCGAACTCTTTGTTAAATGATTTAAATGACGTTAAGTGTGTCTTCGGAGTCACTTCGGGAAAGTTCCTGGGCTACATAGTCAACCGACGTGGCATCAAAGCCAACTTGGAAAAAATAAGGGCAATCCTAGATATGAGACCACCTCGGAAAATAAAGGAAGTCCAAAGGCTGACTGGCTGGGTAGCTGGCCTAAGCCGTTTCATGTCTAAATCGGCGGGCCAATGCCTACCCTTTTTTAAAGCAATAAAAAAGAGCAAGAATTTCGAATGGACCGAAGAGTGTCAGCTCCCCTTTGACGAGCTGAAAAGGTACCTAAGTACTGCACCGGTTTTAACTCGACCCGAAGAAGGGGACGAATTAAACCTATACCTCTCCGCAAGTGACGAAGTAGTTAGTTCGATACTGATCAAAGAAGTAGATCGAGTCCAACGACCCATCTACTATGTTAGTAAAGATTTGCAGGATGCAGAGACTAGGTATCCGGAGATCGAGAAACTAGCATTTGCACTAGTCATAGCAGCCCGGAAACTACGCCTGTACTTCCAAGCCCACACTATCGTTATTCTCACCAACAGACCCCTAAGGCGGATTCTGCTCAAGCACGAGGTGTCCAGAAGATTAACGAAGTGGTCCATCAAGCTGAGTGAATACGACACCCGGTTCGAGCCACGACCAGCAATCAAAGCCCAAGTCTTGGCGGACTTCGTAGCAAAGTGCACGTTTAGCACGCCGACCCCTAAACTGATTGAGCTCGCTCACACATCGAGGTACCCACATTGCGACTTGAGGAGGTGCAAGACCTGGCTACATCTAGACTGCGGCATACTAGCAGAGAGTAGCTCGGTACTATAACGCCCGGGTCAAGAAGCGGCAGTTTCATGTCGACGACCTAGTTCTCCGGAAAGTTATGGTACCTGAGCCCGTCGTGGGTAAGCTCGGACTGAATTGGGAAGGTCCGTTCCGTGTAAGGTGGGTGTTCAAGGAAGGCACGTATGAGCTCG